TTTTAAAAAATATATAAGATGTATATATACATACATATATTTATATATTAGCAATCATTTTTGGCTAGTTTTTGAATAGTGTAGAGTTGATTTTTTTTTTTGGAATTATGCTACACACACCTTGAGTTCACTGCCATAGTTTAGATACATCTTACAGTGTTGACAGTGCTTTTCCAGCACAGAGGTGTCATCCTCCAGTAATCCCCCACTTACTGATGTTTTAAAATTTAGGCATGTTTTCAGATTTTAATTCCTCTTAATTATCACAAGCACCTGTCTACTTGTTTTTATAAGCCATATGTGATGTTAAAACTTCATATCCTGTCAACCCATCTTCAGAGACAACCACAGTTATTAGTTCAGTGTGTATTTATTCAATTTATCTTCTAAGTGCATTTTAAAATATTTTAGTAAAGTTAAAAATGTCCATTTTGATTGTTAGCTAAGTGAAGCCTCTGTGTGGTCCAGTCAGAAGGTGTTCACGGAACGAATGAGCTCCTTCCTACCTCAAGCTGCTGTCCCGGCCTCTCCTGGGAGAGGCCTGGGCCCTTTCTGAAGCTCCGGGTGCAGAGACAGCAGGTGCAGAGACAGCAGATGCGAGTCTGCTATAAGGATCCCACCTACAGTAGCCGCCAGCCACATACACAGTGCAGGCCTTTGGGGGTGTTTCCCCTCATTAACTAGTTTTTGAAAATCATTCCATGTAAGTACTAGGGTTGAAAAGGATAGTATCCATTTGAAAGATATCATTGACTTAACCTTTTCTCTGTTCATAGGTACTTAAGATTCTTTTCATTTTTCTTACCATTACAAACTGCTCCTGCAGGGATATCTATCTAGGAAAATTTATAGAAGTAACATTGTTTGAATCTAAGGAATAGTTTAATTATTTTGATAGATGTTGCCAAATCGTTCTCTGAACTCCATCCTCTTCCATGGTTATGCCTTGCCCCAAACCCTCACCAACACAGTGTTACCAAACTTTTGACTTCTGTCCACCTAGGGGAGCAACAGAATCTCCTTGTTTTGTTTATTTTTAAAATATTTATTTATTCGTGCATACAAAACTGGGCTCAGGTCAGAATCCAGGGGCAGTGAGAGGATTCACCAGAGACAGAATGGGGAGCAGAACAGGCAGATTGAGTAAGTACTCTGCTGACGGGAGCAGTGAGCAAGACAGGAGAGGTCTGCTGCACCATGTGGGTCAGCTCCCTGGGGTTGAACTAGTGTTGAAGCGGCTGCAGTTAGTTTCATAGTGCTTTAACCCTTTGCGCCACAAAAGAGGGCCCTGAATCTCCTTGTTTAAAGTTGTATTACCTGTATGAGGAGCACAGCAAATATCTGAGTTATTTGAATTCCCTTCCCTGTGAATTTATATCCTTTGCCCATTTTCTTAAAGGCTGTTATCCTACTTTTGTAGAACTTCTTTAAATCTGTAAGGAGGCTTTCCTTTCTATGTGATCGAGTCAGTAATAGTCATATATTTCAAAGTTTACAGGAGAATCTCAAAAGGAAAGGTTGCTTTTCTTGTTGTAAGGACATCCACTTAGCCTTCACAGTGCTTTGCACTGATTGATGTGAGAGATGCACAGAAACCTAAGTTCCTCAAGAGCAGGCCCTTGTATAGATTGCAGAATTGAGGGGTGCACCCTGTCCTGTGTGCATGAGAACCTTATGTCTATTCCCCCTTACCTGCTGCAGTTTAAGTGTTTCCCAGGGAGCCATCTCAGAGGTGTCACTGCAATCTTGCTCAGTTTCCTCTATCTGTGTGGAAGCACTAGGGATGACCCTCCCACTCAGAGCTCAGGAGCTGGTCTCTGGATAGTGCACATAAAGTTTTACCACCAGCAAGCTGTAGACAAAAGCCAAATTCACATCTTCAGAATGGGGAGAGGTCCCTGCCGTGCAGAGGAGCAGTGCCTTTGCCCATATGGAGTCCACATGGCCTCTGCCTGTCTCATTCTCCATGTCCACTTTGTGCATAGCCTGCCCACCCCCTCCTCCAGCAGCATGTCCTTGTCTTTTATTCAACATGTACAGAAAACTTGATAAAGGGTTCTGTGAGATTTATTTAAACTTTCTATATAAATTACTTTTCTTTCAAGATGTGGCACATATATACAATGGAATATTACTCAGCAATCAAAAAGAGATAAACACATGCCTTTTGCAGCAACATGGATGGAGCTGGAAGGGATCATGCTTAGTGAAATAATCCAGAAAGAAAAAGAATACCAGATGGTTTCACTCATAGCAAGAGCATAAGGCATCAGGGAAGAAAAAAAAAGGGAGAGACTAACAAATGTAATAGAGTAAAAATGAAAACAATAAACAACTATAAACCAGAGACATTTTATGGGGATGGGAGGGGGGATCGGAAGTGGGGTGTGAAGAGTGCACTGGACTGTGGTGATGGCACACAGGTGAACTGATGATGGGAGGCCCATGGGGATTATAACTGAAATGGAAAATGCACAAAATGGAGAATGATGTAAAAAAAAAAAAGTGGGAAAAATTACTCTTCTTTTCAAAAATAGAGTTTGATATACCCACTCACTAAAGAAATACAACATGCCTTTTACTAAACTTTCTTGCCTCCTAAATAACTTAAAAGTTTAGCTGTATATTAGATTATCTTATTAAGAGCTAGTGTGAAAAACAGTAGTTTCTTTTTTATATAGTTCATTAAGTACATTATTTCTATCAGTCTGTTCTTGCTGGTTTTTGTAAGCTAGCTCACAGTATGCTCTAGCACTGAAACACAGTTCTCCATGTTTTCTAGTGTCCTTTGAGATGCATATTAACATTTGTTTTAGACCTGAAAAAATCAAGTTTTTAGCAGAAAATGAGTTTGGTCCGGAGGATTGCTCTGATGACTGACTGCCTTTGCCAGTTACAAAAGCTGCCTAATAGTTTTATAACCTGAAGAAGCCAGCTCTGTAAAATTTGACAGAAGTATACTTAAAACATTTCATTAAAAACTCATATGTGGGCCTTCACCCCTGGTGGCGAAATGGATTAAAGCCTAGCACTATGAAGCTATCCCCAGCCAGGGAGCTGACCCACATGACATGGCAGACCTCACCTGACCCACCCGCTGGTCCCCTCAGCAGTTTATTTTAGTTAGTCTGCCTGTTCTGCTCCCTGCTCCATCTCTAGTGAATCCCTGCACCTCAGGCCTGTACCCCAGTTCTTGTATGCATAAGTAAATAAATCTTTTAAAAAATCATATGGGCAAAATTGAATTAAAATTACTATTCCGGGTCCTCCCTGGTGGCGCAGCGGGTTAAAGCACAGCACTAAGAAGCTTAAGCCACTTCCGCATGAGTTCGATTCCCGCCTGCCCCGGAGGAGCTCCACATGGCAGGCAGACCTCTCCTGATCTGCCCGCTGCTCCCCTCAGCAGTGTACTTCCTCGGTCTTCCTGTTCTGTTCCCCTCTCTGTCTCTGGTGAATCCTCTCACCTCCACATCTCTAGCCTGTACCCCAGTTCTATATGAATAAATAAATAAATCTTTAAAAAAAATTACTATTCCTATTTTCCCAGCTTAAATGAAACAAATGCCTTTAAATGAAGGAATTGGCATCTGCTAAGTCTTGGTAAAGTTTTTTGTTATCTTCCTGAAACAGAAGAATTAATACAAGTCAGGTGGTTTCCAATTCTGCTTTCCAAAAAATTGAGTTTTTGGCCAAAAGAAGACTAAATATCTTTTTTTTTGATGACTGAGGGACATGCAGTGTTTAGGTGTTTTGAGGGCATATACAGCAATAGTATTTGAAGAACCCTGCATTATAGGAAATTTGCAGTGTCCAGAAAAGTGAAAACTAAGTATGTTCCTCCAGTCCTCTTTAGCCAGTTCCTTTTAGGTACAACAATTCACATATACACTTAGGCCTGAACTTATGTGCCTAGAAAACATACCCTCTCTACTGATAGATCAATTTTTCATGAAATGAACCGAGAAATGGGACCTTAAATTTGTATTAAAAGCCAAACTTTCATACTGAAAATTTCTTCCATGAAAGAAAGTAAAAATAGCATGTTTAGTGAAAATGCACCATCATACAGAAAAGAGTAATTGGGAGTTCTTTTTCTAGTTTTTTATCTAGTTTTTTTATCTGGCTGGATAAAAATATAGAAATATTTCAGGTATATCAGTAGCTTTATTGCCTCTGGACTTAAAGCAATTTGAGGACAGGAATCGCTTCCTATACTATTTAATTAAAATTGTAAAATAAACTGGTGCTCAGAAAATTCTGCAATGGTAGTTCTGGATGATGAATTTGTGTGGGGTGTAGGGTGTTCCATTAACCTGAAGACATATTTCTGTTCTGAAAAGGAAATATTTGGACATGGTACAAAATCAAAATGTTCAACAGAAAGGGGAAAGTAATTTGTTATTTCAATGGATAGCTTTAGATTCTTTTAAATGTTACCATGTTCAAGAATTGCCTGTCTAAAAATGAGAATGAGAGTTACCAGGTTAAAAGATAGGAACAGCTTAGGAACTGGTAGCTGCTTTGAGTTGTCTAACACAGTTGTACTGTTTATTCTACGTGCTCATTGGCAACATGATGGCTGCATGCTTTCCATACCTACCTGGTGTATTATCTGATCATTTTTTAAAAAAGATTTACTTATTTATGCATACAGAACTGCGTTACAGGCCAGAGGTGCAGGGGCAGTGAGAGGCATCACCAGAGTGGGAAGCAGAATAGGCAGATCAATGAAGTACACTGCTTAGGGGAGCAGCGGGAGAGACAAGAGAGGTCTGCTGCACCATGTGAATCACTTCCGGGGTGGGGGATCGAACTCCCACTGTGTCCTAACCCTAGCTAGCTAGCTTGCAGTGCTGTGTCCTAATTCTTGGTGCCACCAGGGAGGGCTCATCTAATAATTTCTAACACATCTTCTCCATCATTTTAAAAGTACCATTGATAGTGAGCAACTCCTTCCTTTGCCACCCTGTTTGAAATCATGCTTCTCTACTTTATTCTAGGACAAACTGGTGCAGGAAACAACTGGGCAAAGGGCCACTACACAGAAGGGGCAGAGCTTGTGGACTCAGTGCTGGATGTGGTGAGGAAGGAGTGTGAGCACTGTGACTGTCTGCAGGGCTTCCAGCTCACCCACTCCCTGGGGGGCGGGACAGGCTCAGGCATGGGCACGCTGCTTATCAGCAAGATCAGGGAGGAGTATCCTGACAGAATCATGAACACCTTCAGTGTCATGCCCTCTCCCAAAGTCTCGGACACTGTGGTCGAGCCCTACAATGCCACCTTGTCCGTGCACCAGCTGGTGGAGAATACAGACGAGACCTATTGCATTGACAACGAGGCCCTGTATGACATCTGCTTTCGCACCCTGAAGCTCACCACGCCCACCTACGGGGACCTCAACCACCTGGTGTCAGCCACCATGAGTGGGGTCACCACCTCCCTGCGCTTCCCAGGCCAGCTCAATGCTGACCTCCGAAAGCTGGCCGTGAACATGGTCCCTTTCCCCCGCCTGCACTTCTTCATGCCTGGCTTTGCACCCCTGACAGCCAGAGGCAGCCAGCAGTACCGGGCCTTGACGGTGCCTGAGCTGACTCAGCAGATGTTTGATGCCAAGAACATGATGGCCGCCTGTGACCCCAGACACGGGCGTTACCTGACCGTAGCCACTGTCTTCCGTGGTCCAATGTCTATGAAGGAGGTGGATGAGCAGATGCTGGCTATCCAGAACAAGAACAGCAGCTACTTCGTGGAGTGGATCCCCAATAATGTCAAGGTGGCCGTGTGTGACATCCCCCCTAGGGGTCTCAAGATGGCCTCCACCTTCATTGGGAACAGCACAGCCATCCAGGAGCTGTTCAAGCGCATCTCGGAGCAGTTTTCTGCTATGTTCCGCCGGAAGGCTTTCCTGCACTGGTTTACAGGAGAAGGCATGGATGAAATGGAATTCACAGAAGCAGAGAGCAACATGAATGACCTGGTATCTGAATACCAGCAGTATCAGGAAGCCACAGCCAATGATGGCGAAGAAGCTTTTGAAGATGATGAAGAGGAGATCAATGAGTAAAAGTGTGCCTGTCTCCAATAGTTCTATTTGGATGTTTTTCTCTGTAACTGGTGCATCCTCACTTTAATGGTCTGTGTGGTAATAGTCCCTCACAAATGAAATAAAATCGTACAATCAGTCATTTGGTATAAAGTATATTAAAATGGCAGAGAATTGGCAGTTGGACCAAACCAGTAGATTGGGGAATTTTCTAGTGGTGGAAGACTTGAACTAACTAATGGGCCACAAATAAGAGACTGAATAAAGTTCACCTCTGTTACATGTTTAGTGATGTCTTAGAATTTGCAGGAAGTTAGAAACAGTGCTTTTCATCCTTTGTGAAGAAACCTGAAGCAGTATTGCCTTATACTGAATGTGATATTGATTGAACTTGGAAACATCTATTCATAATAAAACACTAATAAAACTCTTCGCTTCTTCCAGCCTCTACTTTTGTGATAGACTTGTTACTTTGCCTTGCTAGAATGGTTACCAAGTCCTTCCTCTTCTTGGGTGAAATGTTCCTGCAGTTCTTTAAGAACTTAGAGAAAAAGGTTTGAACTGGAGTCATTAATAAGAGTGGGAGCCAGAATTTTTTTAAGCATGAAAGCCACACACAAAACACCTGTCACCCCCACTTGCACCTGCACTTATATCTCTCTTGTAATCTTTCACCACTTCCCTGTTGTGTCTTCTCCTACCAAGCAGGGGACTCTAATTCCAGTCAAGATGACCCAGTATGCCACAGGTCTGGTTCCTTTAGCCACTGCTGAACAGTCAAAGATGCAGTCACCCCACTGCTCACAATCACTGTGTTTATGCTCACCTGGCACAAGCTATGCAATGTCTATCGATTGACAAATTCCAGATAGATTAGGAAAAGCTCTGAAAAATCAATTTCCACTGCTAACTTATGTTATAACCTCCCTTTTTTTGTATAGTAATGTCAAAATAGTCTGAGCAACCATCAGTTTACAACTGGATTGTCTTAGCCTCGTAAGGCAGCTGCCTGGCCCAGGAAAGCTGCCACAGGGGGAGAAATTCCTCTTTCTCCTGAGACAAAAGGCAAACCCTAGGAGAGATAAAACCCGAGGGCATGAAAACTCCTGGGAAGCTTCCCTGCTTTCTTTAAAATAAAAAGCAAATCTCAGATAAGACTCCCAGGGCATAAGGACTCGTGGACAATTTTTAACCTTGATTACACAGGTGTTGCTTAATACACAACTGTACAACTTTCTCTTAATTAACTCCTTTTTTAAACAAGCACTGACTACTCTCTGCTAGCCTTCAATTAGCCACTACTTTTCTTTAGACAACCACTGATAACACTAACACAATTTATTACTTCCCTAAGACCCCTAATAACCGTTCGCTAACGAGCTCATCTCTTCCCAGACCCCTCTTCCTTTGAGTGATAACTAAACATCTGTACACATGACAATTATCACAAAAACATATAATCTAGTATGCCATAAAATGTTAAAGAGAAAAATGCTTTGTTCCCCTTGTCCTTGAGAACGTTTTATGGCGATCTCTTTAACTTACCCTATATGCATTATTGCAATTAACTACTTGCTACCCAGTATAAATAAAGACCTGCTCAGGGAATGAGCAGGAAGACTTGCACCCAACTCTGATCCTGTCTCTTCCTCATGCCCGCTCCCCTCTCCCTTTTTTGTAATCTCCGGGTGCCCGAAGCCTTCCCACCTTAGGGCCCTGCCTATCTCGCCTCCGGACACCTCGACAGGTCCCCAACACTCACCTAGCTAATCACTAATCATGCAGCATGAAGTGTGAATATCTTATTTTTGCAAATATTTTGCAAACTATTTTGTAAGATAGCAGTAAAAGTAGTTATCTCACTATCTACATCTACCCTTAGAAGACAAGTTATCAAACACCCACAATGAGCCAGGCTCTGCTGAGGCTGCATCACAGGGACTGGCTCACTAGCTCTTACAGGTATGGGGGTAACCATTTTTGTACAGAGGATGCTACTGAGGGCTCAGTGGTAGCCCAGGCTGCACCAGCCTTGAGTTTAGAGCCCAAGTAAGAACTGCAGGGCCCGACATGGTCTATGATTTACCATCTGAGCCTTGTGCAAAACTCACTTTTACTGAATCAAATGTGCTCATGTTTGGCAAAACCCACATCATTCCATCCAGAGGCCTCACAGCCAATGCCTACTCCACAGTTGCTCTTTTGGCAGTGATGCAAGGGAATGCAGTGTCTATTGCTGCGGAGGACAACACCCTGAACAGCCTGGCTATGCCATGAACCCCACAGCCTGTGAACAGCTCTTCACTGACCTGCCGCCAACATACACCCCATGTGTGAATGTTATTCTCCCCTCACCAGGCGTAGAAAAGACACAGAGTGAGTGTGGAGGTGTGGAGGTGAGGAGGCAGGTGCCTGTAGCAGAGCTGTAACAGCTGCTTCTGTGGTAGAGGCTGGGAGAGTTCAGTCTCTAGGTTACTTGGAGGAGTCACCCCAAGGAGGAGCTCCAGGGTTCCAGTGCTGCCACTCCCATTTTTAAGTTTGAGAAATCACTGTTCCACATCCTTATTGTCAAAACAAGCAAGACAAACTGCAAGGCAAATTGACTTTGTTAACAAAGTAATTAAAATATGCAAAATATCTAGTACCTTCAAGTCCAAACCGTGGCTTTTGGTTAAGAATTCCTAACCATTCCTAACCATTCCGATGCAGGTTTGCAACACTGCAGGTTTCAGCTTTGCTGGGACCACACACATATATAACTTTCATCTTAGGGTAGTCCTTCCTTATCCTCAGGTGATACAGTGTTTCTTAAGACCCACAGGGAGATGAACTGAGCCCTGTAATGAACTACTCTTCCTATACATACATGGTAACGTTTATTTGTAAATTAGGGACAGTAAGAAATGAACAACTTAGAAAGCAATTATGCGATTTGCCTTGTCAAAAAAGCTTATTGTATGTAGTATTTTGGAATGATCAGGGATAACTGAAACTGCAGATCACAAGGTATTCCTGCAATAGTATAATAGTAACTGATTCAGACCACATGGAAGATGATTGAGGGTGAAGCATCCTCCCCACTGTCCCACGCTCAGTTTAGGATCACTGCCTCCAAAATCAGGACATGGCTTGAAACAGCCTGCCTGGCCACTGTGATGACAGAGTCAGAGAGTGTGGCCAAAGTCTATTTACAATGGTCTCATGAGGATGTAAAATGATGTCATCATTGAATGGACTGACTCAGTATCAACGTATGTACAGCCACAGTTCATCACTCCAGGACTTGCAAATCTACAAGTTACTAAGCTTTTCATTGGGATTGAAGAGAAACAGTGAGACTAAGATTTTTTCAAGGACTCCTCTCTAAACAGTAAAAATACTTAATCGCTTTCCATTGTGTTTTTTAAAAGTATTCCAGGAATAAATGACGCTTTGTGTGTTCAGAGGAAAAAAGTGCAGTGTTAACACTTTATTTCTGCTGTAAAGAAGCCATATTTACATAATACATTCATATTTTTAAATATGTTACAGCTCTCCGTAGAAAACCATTCCATTTAAACAGCAACATGTGATTTAGATTCAATCTTTAAAATATTCTTATCAAGACTCCAATTTAATTTCATAGTCCTTCCACAGAGGGAAGTTCTGGAGGGAAACAGGAATGAAAAGGAGGTGATGGGAAGAGAAAATGATACCTATTCCTCAGTAGTAAGTCCTCAGATTCTCTACCCCCGACACACACTAGCTGGCTTTACTGACGTGGAGCAGGAGCAGGGCCTGAGTGCCACTGTCCCAGAGCTCAAGAGGAAAGGGGCATGTTCTCCCCAGGGGCCTTTGGAAAGTCACCTTGCTATCCCTATTGTACTTTGAAGGGTGGGAGTTAGGGCTCCTTTTCCCACCTTTCATCCAGACCAGCAGCTGGACCAACCTGGAGAAGTTTTCACTCCTCTGAGAAAGCTAGAGTTGAAAAAAACATATAAATTGAAACCACAATATGAAAAACTAAAATGGCCTTCCTCCTCGGATCTGGTTGGCAATTTTCTCTTCTGGGGTCTCCTCTTTCTCCTTTTCCCGCTCTTTGTTCCAGTCCTTAAGGCCCTCTGGAAGTGAAGTATCCTCATCCAAGCTGCCAGTTCCTTCTACAAATTCTTCATAGGTAGATTTCTCTGCAAATGGTCTCGGGCCCAAAAGTTCAACCATATCATTCTTATCTAATACTTCTTTTTCTAGTAATAGAAGAGCAACCTGAAACAGGAACAATTTCCATTAGATAAATTTATTCAGTAAAATCTATTCAAGTTAATAATGTTTTATGTCAATCCCACTCCAAAAAAGGCATTTTAAAACACCAAAAAAGGTAACAATTTTTGAGTAAGAGGAGCAAGATATTGGAAAAGCAAGTATCCATCAGAAAGGGAATGCTACAGTGTGGTCATCCATACCATGAACAATTAAGAACCTGTAATTAAGAATTTATGTTCTTCACTGATGCAAAAATCCTCAACAAAATCTTAAGCCAGCAGAATCCAACAATGCATTAAAAAAAGAATACACCATGACCAAGTGGGCTTTACCCCAGAAGTACAAGGATGGTTCAACAGCAGAAAATCAATTAATATAATCCATCACATCAACCGACAGAAAAATAAAAACCATATAATCATATCAATAGATGCAGAGAAGGCATTCCATAAGGTTCAACATCCATTTGTTTAAGGCCCTCTAAATCCTCAAATAGAAGGAACATACCCCAACAAGATTAAAAGCCATGAATGACAAACCCACAGCCAATATTATCCTCAACAGAGAAAAGCTGAAAGCCTTTCCTTTGAGATCAGGAACAAGACAAGGGTGTCCACTATCACCACTGCTCTTCAACATAACATTGGAAGTTCTAGCCAGAGCAGTATGACAGGTAAAATATATACAAGGAATCCAAATAGGGAAAGAAGAAGTAAAACTGTCTTTATTTGCAGATGATATGCTAATTTACACGGAAAACCCTAAAAACTCCATAGAGAAACTAATCAAAACAATCAACCAATTTAGTAAGGTAGCAGGATATAAAATCAAACAAAAGTCAGAGGCCTTCCTATACACAACCAGTCAGAAGAAGTGGGGGAAAAAAATCCCCTTTTCAACTAAAACAAAAAGAATCAAATACCTGGGAATCAACTTAACAAAAGAGGTCGAAGACCTACACAAAGAAAATTATAAAACACTGTTACAAGAAGACACCAAGAAATGGAAAGTCATCCCTTGCTCATGGATCGGGAGAATCATCAAAATGGCCATACTACCATAAGTGACATAGAGATTTAATGCTATCCCAATAAAAGTCTCAATGACATTCTTCAAAGAAATAGTAAGTTTGTTCAACAAATGGTGCTGGGAAAACTGGGAAGCTACATGCTAAAAAATGAAACTAGATCACTACCTTGCACCATGCACAAAAACCAACTCGAAGTGGATTAAAGACCTAGACATAAGACCCAAAACCATAAAATACCTAGAAGCAAAGATGGGCAAAACACTGCATGACATCCACCTCAGTAACATCTTTGAAAATACAGCACCAACGCCAACAATAGTGAAGGAAAGAATAAACAGATGGACTACATCAAGTCAAAGAGCTTCTGTACAGCAAAAGACACATTACAAAAAACAGACAACCCACTGGTTGGGAAAAAATTTTCTCACACAAAACTAGTGATAAAGGACTGATCACAAAGATATACAAAGAACTGATGAAACTCAACAAAAATAAACAACCCCAACAAAAAATGGACAGAAGAGCTAAAAAGACACTTCTCCAAAGAGGAAATGCAGATGGCCAACAGGCATATGAAAAATGTTCAACATCACTTGTGGTACAAATTAAAACCACAATGAGATACCACCTCACCCCAGTGAGAGTGGCACATCTTAAAACAACTAGCAACAACAAATGTTGACGAGGATGTGGAGAAAAAGGAACTCTCCTGCACTGCTGGTGGGAATGCAAACTAGTACAACTACTATGGAAACTGTTTGGAGGTTTCTCAAACTGCTCAACATGGAGCTTCCCTATGACCCAGCAATCCCACTCCTAGGTATGTATCCATAAGACACAAAACACTGATTCAAAAAGACCTGTACCCCCATGCTTATTGCTGCTTTATTTACAATAGGAAAAACATGAAACCAACCCAAATGCCCACAAGTAGATGACTGGTATATATACACAATGGAATATTACTCAGCAACTAAAAAAAAGAAACACATGTCTTTTGCAGCAACATGGATGGAGCTGGAAAAGATTATGCTTAGTCAAATAGGTCACAAAGAAAAGGGAAAATAACAGATGTTTTCTCTCATAGCAGGAGTATAAAGGACCAGGGGAGAAAATAATAAGAATAATGAACAACTATATACCACAGACATTTTATGGGGTAGTGGGGAGTGGGATCAAAAATGGGGGGACAAAAATGCACTGGACTATGATGGCACACAGGTGATCTGGTGATGAGAAGCCCACGGGGATTACAACGGAGATGGAAAAAGGCACAAAATGATGTAAAAATAAAATATTATTTAAAAAAAGAATTTATGTTCTCTTAAAGAGAGGCATTCAAAGAGAAAAACAAGATACACAGAGTACATAGTATGCTACACTTGCTTTTTAAATAAGGGAAAATATACCAAGTAGTAAAAATCATGGAGGGGGGTGGAGGAAATGGGTGTAAAGCTGGAAAAGCTAGAAATTTTTAGTTTAAAAAAAAAAAATTAAACAAGGGCAGAGATACAAAATGAAGCCAAGAAAGCTAAAGTAAAAATACATATCTTGAAGTGCTATTCATTTGTATAACCAAACCACAAGTCTGACATACACATCTTAACAGGTCACAGAAACGGGAACATCTGACAACTCTATGAAGGCAAGTGATAGGATGGAGGCAGAGAAGAGTAGTTATAGTTAGAACACCAGATCACTACATGAAAATTAAATGGCTTAAATTGTAAACTCATCTCATAAAACAGGTTTAGTTCCTGAGATAACTTCCCACTTACAAATTAAATGTATCTGCTAGCTGACATTCAATGCTGTGTTTTTAAAGAGATCAAATAATTTTCTTGTGTTTGTTCAATTCTTATATTAAAACTTTACTATGGAATATGTCAAATATGTACAAAGATAAAAGAATAACTAAACCCCATGTAACCACTATCAGTTAAGAGCTAACTTAGAGCCATATGAATTTTACCTACTCCTCAGATTATTATGGGGGAAGGGGAAAAAACCTAGATATATTGTATCAGTTTATCCACATATATTTTTGTCTACATCTTTGAGGTAAAGGTTCTTTAAACATAACCAGACAGCTAAAACTTTCTAATATACTGTTTATACAAATAAGGTAAGACTTAGAGAAATGAAAGTGCTAGGATTTCTTGACCATCTTTCTCAATCTGTCTATTAACATAGCTGTAAGGTAACCACTTTAAATTTTAAAAATCTGTTATTCAATCCAATGTGTCAAAAGTTATCACCATTTCAGCATGTAATGATATAATCAATGTTTGATATTTTTTACACCCCTATTTTCATACTTCAAAACCCAGTGTGTATTTTATACACAGCACATCTCAATTTGGAGAGCAATGCTGACAGCACATTGAGTCCCAATTCTGGTCCTGCCACATAGCAACTGCATGAACTTAAGCAAAGTAATTTACCTTCTCTATGTATGTTTCTTTTGTACAGTAAGGGTAGTAATGTAATTACTGTATTACATTAGGTAATAAGGGTAGTATGTAATTTCTGTACAGTAAGGGTAGCTACCTCATCAGGTTGTAGGGGGTTTTAGAAAAGCTACTGCATCTTAGGCAGTATCTCAACGCATAACAGTTACCCTGTTCTCCTAAGTCTTGGCCGTTAGAGATCAACTTGCCCAAAGTTTCAATCCATTAGATAAGGCTAAAGGTCTAGAAGGAATCTGTCTCAGCAGCAACGTTTCCAGCCACCTGTTCCCTTGACAGTTCCTATTTCCTGGTGGTTCAACATTCCTAGTAGATTTAATTTTCTCTAGTACTTCAAAACTCTATAGTGTTTCAAGATCTTCATCCTATTGAACCAGTTTTCCTCTCACAAACATATTACTATTGTTGGCACCTGAACTGTATACCTGGAAGGATAGATTAAGTTGTGAATTATCTCAGCCCCTCTGGTATCTACGGCATGCACATGTGGGCTCATTATACACCCTGTGGCCCCAGAGCTGAGCTGGTCATCTCTGATATTTTACTGCAAATTACTTTCTTGTCAACAACTGGCCACAAGCGGATTACCAACCAGATCCTGTCTGACTTGGACCTCCTGTCCATATACCACTTGCAAATGCCTGCTGCTAGTGTCCTCTTGGGTGAGCTGAGCCCCTTTCTGCACCCAGCTGTGTCTGCCAATAGGGGGCATATTTGAATCACTTTGAGAGTTTTGTTCTTTACAATTAATCAACATATCTTGGTTCCTTAGCTCTGCTTATTTCCTAACCTTCCTATTTCTCCTGCCATCACCAGCACCTTCTCAGGAAAGTTAGAACATGCCTGCAACAGCCTCTGAGCTGCTCTTTGTTAGTTTTCTCCATCCACTGGAGCTGGCATACCACTGCCACATTTTCTTAATGGATAAACTTTTTTTTTTTTAAAGATTTATTTTATTTATACAGAGTGGGGAGCAGAACAGGCAGATTGACAAAGTACACTGCTCAGGGGAGCAGTGCGCCAGGCAGGAGATGTTTGCTGCACCATGTGGTTCACCTCGGGATGGGGGGATCTAATGGGTTAGGCTGTGGCTAGTTTGCAGTGCTGCACCTTAACCCTTTGCACCACCAGGGAGGGGCCCTTAATGGATAAACTTTCAATCATTTCCACTGAATATTCCTTTAAGCCTCCCACCAACAAAAAAGGGGCTGGGTCATACCATTATGCAGGCTACTTCTAGTTCTAAAATCCTATTTCCAAACAGTCTATCTAATTTTAGAGGGCCTGGTTTCCCAAAATCTTTGTCCACCCTCTTACTCCCAACCCCATCTGTTCCAGGTAGATAGTTCCATAACTCCCTCCTCCCACAAATTTCTCTGCCCACTTGGTCTCTATGTTGCTAGTACTCCTTTCCATTACTTAGTCATGCTAAGCTGACAATCACTCATTGTAAACTTTTAAGTTTTATCTTCTTCATTGTTTTTAGTGGTAAGACCCAGGACTGG